CAGGTAATCTATAAAGGTGTGTACCCTCTACCTGAGCTTATGCAAGTTGATCTACCTAAGCAGTAACCCCACACTCTTTATTGTTAATAAAATATGTTTATAATGTGTTGAGGGAGACAAGTGGGATTTAAGAAGGATTTGTGTGTGGTTTATTAAATAGATGTATTTTTTTCAGTGCTCAGCTTGAGCAGCTTGAAAAGGCCCACTCCTTATGCAGGCCATAGAAGTGTTTTGGTGAACTGTATTAGACCATTTTTCCCCCTAGATATGACCAGAGCTTTCAGACTGCTTTGTAAGATGGTCTAGGACTCTTACAGATGTTCCAGGTTAATAGCAAAATAATTTTACTTTCTTCTTTTAATCTTCCCTTTCTGGATTCATGCAGATGGTGTTAACGAAAATTGACCGAGCTTCCAGGGGAGTATTGTTAAAGAACGTACTGGAGATCCAGGAGTTTGTAAAGGAGAGCACCCAGGGATGCTTTCCTCAGCAATTCTTGGTCAGGTAAAGCTCCTCTCCACTTGTGCTGTTTCTTTTCTGGCGATGAGTTCGGTAGGGCAAGATACCTACAATAAACTCTGTCTGATCTCGAGGCAACACCTCTCTGTGCCCCAAGGATAGAGGGTGGGCTGCTAATGGGAGAATGTCCCTTTCCTTCTTCCCCCTTCTCTACAAGTGAGTGAAGTTTGGTGCTTCTTCCTTTGGCCTTTCTCGAAGTGGGGCAGCAGTTCCTGTGCTGCACGGTAGCAGGCTTTGCCATTTTATTTGGAGTTCTGGTAACAGTAAGAGCTACAGTTGTTGGATTACACAGCCAAAGTGCAGAGTCTTCCCAAGGTGTACTGTGGGACATGTAATTGAACACAGCCAGTGGCTGTTTGCCTTTATTACCGCAAGACACAGCAGTATCTGGCACTCAACATCTATGCCTCTGTTTCCACAGTTCTGTGGAGTTCACAGGGGTTCACTTGCTCAGGTGTTTTGTAGCCCATGTTACTGGAAACCTGCCCACTGTTGAGGCCAGCTGAAAAGACCTGCTGATCTGCTTGGCTCATCAGGAACAAAAAGGTACCAAAACCAGAGGTCTGGGTTTTTTTGTTGTAAATAACCCAAGTTACTACATGGTATTTTTGAATAAATCAGTATTTATAAAGCTACATATTTTCTTTATTAAGTTCATCAGTTCAGGAAGTTCGCAGTGTGAATTAATCCAGGTTATTATAAAACTGTTTCATAAAACCTGCATGGTTGTGCTAAGGAGAAAAAAAAGTAGGGAACCTCCATAGAGAAGGAAAGTTTTAATACATAATTTCCTCTCCCTACATTGAAATATTCAAAAATCTATTACTCCATGCCTAACCTCTGCTATATTTAGGATACTAGAGACAATCTAGTAGTATCATTAATAAAGAGACATTTAATATCTAAGAAAGAAAAACTACAGCCCTAACATTAAGAAAACTGTATTGCCCAGTTGACTGATACACAGAGGTTTACTTCTCTCAGCTGGGGTTTGGGTTAGGATAGCAGGGGCCAAAAACTACCTCCTGTGCAACCTACCTGCTCTAAGGCCATGCAGAGTGGAAGTAGCCAACCAGTTGTCTGTGAAGGTGTGTTTGACATCTTGTATATTTTACTTTTCTAACTCTTTGTGTCCTGTGTTCAATAGGTGCAGCAGGATAGCATGCCTTGCTTGCAGACTCGAGTTGTCCCTGTTTCCCAAGGATGAAGGAAAGAATACATCTTTAAAGGGATCTGCTTTTCTATGAGTGTTGGCTTGAAACAGAGTGGAATAAAAGACTGACATCTGGAGGAGTCCTGTCCTGCACACTGTCACAAGTCAGTGCTGCATCTACCTTCTGGTTTGAGGTCCAGCATGAATTTTTGCAGCTCCAGTTGGATGCATTGCCAGATCTGAGGCACACCATCCATGATCTGTACCAGTTCTATCCTGACAGCTAAATCACAATACTGATGTATCCTGTACTCCTTAGGGGAACTGCATCCCACAGCAGCTGTGTTTGTCTAAGAGCACCTGAAACTGTCCAGTTAAAAGGCAGAACTGGACAAAAGGAAGCCAACAATAGCAGCACTCATACAGGAGAACTTAGTCTGAAGCTATGAAGTGCCTGTGTCAAACCCTCACACTCGGTCATGTCTTGGCCAAATGTGGTTATGCAGTTGTCAAAGTTATTTGCATTAAGTGTTTAAACCTCAAGAAAGGAAAGTTCTTTTCTAAACCACTCTGACAGTACAAATGGACTAGAAATATTACTGTATTGCACTATGCAATTTCTTGTAACACACTAGACATGAAACAAGATCTCTTTTCAGCATACATATAAGAAGAGGGGAATGTGAGGAATGCAGTAAATGTAGCTCTCTAGCTTCTGCATCTTAGTGATCAAACCTGTACTTCTGTTAATATTTTATCTCTAATCCCCAAATACTGCAGGGCAAAACAGCCCAAGGGAGGCATGGTCCTAGAAATGCAGTAGTAGCTATACAAATGGAACAGGTGAAAGTGAACACTTCAGGAAGGGTCTTTTTGTAGTATCTTAAAACCAGGATCTTCCAAAAGCATCAATCTCGTCAAGGCTGTAATTTTCAGAGCCTCAGCCGTGACTGAAGATTGTCTCAAAATAACCCTGAATATGTAAAAAAGTGCAGTTCTGGTTTTAGTCTCTCTTCAGAACAAAACCCTTTACATTACATTACAACCCCTTACAGTGCTAGGAGGTCTTTTACTAACCACTTAAATACATTAAATACATCCAGTTAATTCATTGCATAAATAAACTGGATGTGTGTGCATGGAACATTAGGTACCATCTCCTTCAGAAGCAGCTTTACCTCTGGACACCTTGGTTTTATTCAAAAGTGCTTCAAATACTGGAAGAACTCCTGCATTTTGCTCAGCCATTTGCAGGTGAGAACACTACAGTTTGATTTTTGAGTGTGACAGTGCCCCTGTGACAAAACAATAAATAAAATCAAGTATCTCCCTAAACAATAAAACTTATATTTACAGGCTTTAGGTAAGCAGGTGTCTTGACACACTACTGGACTATTTTTTTGCCAGGTTCTTAAAGAACTGAGTTGCAAAGTGAGGAGCTGCACTTTCTCAGTCCGGGGACACAAAAGATCTCCCTTTCTTTTGCCCTCATTGATGAGTGGCAGGTGGGCCTGACAGCATACTGATACAGTAAAGGTCGTTTCAGTTTTAAATTCAAATATCTTTAGTTGTTTGCAGAGTGTAAGCTTCACCAAAGGCTACTGTCATTACTTGGTAAAGCTTTCCCTCTTCTTCTCTGTTATTTACAGAAATGAGTATTAGCTTCCATGGAAAAGGATTTCACCTTGTGCATCTTCCCTGGTCTTTTAGCAGTACTTTCTCCATTTTCTTCCTCTACTGTGTCTTGTCTTGTGTCTGGTCTGGTCTGGTCTGGTCTGTCACCATAACCTTGACACTAAAAAGGCAGTATTTTTGCAACAGTGTCCAAAATTAGAACATTGCAGTCTGGACAGGTGCACTAGTAGATCAGTAAAAACTGGTTGAATAATTGAGCTCAGAGCATGAAAACCAGTGGGTCATACTCCAGTTGCATGGCAGTCATAAGTAGAACACAGCAAAGACCCATTCTGGAATATGTTCAGTTTAACATCTTCATGAGTAATCTGGAGGAGGAGGTGCACTGCTACCAAACGTGCCTAGGTGGAACAGTGGACATGCTCAAGGGCAGGGCTGGAGGAAAAGGGATAACAGCAACTATATCAAATACAACTGGACTGGAGCACCGCCCTTGCAAAGACAAGCTGAGAGAACTGGGGCTGTCCAGAAGGTGGAAACCTTATAGCAACCTTCCAATATGTGAAAGGGGCTTAAAGAGAAGCCAGAGATGGCCTCATTAGGAGCTGTAGTGATAGGACATTGGGGAATGGGTACAATGTGAAAGAGGGGACTTAATTTGGGCAACCTGGTCTAGTGGGAGGTGTCCGTGTCCATGGCAGGGGAGGTTGGGATTAGATGATCTTTAAGGGCCATAATTCCAGCTCCTTTACATTCTTTGGTTCTGTGAACGTGGGCGTGTTTCTTACTGAAGGGAAGGAAAAGCCCCTGCCAACCGAACAAACCGACGGTGAAGAGACCCTTTCTGACCTCGTGGCTGACCCTCTTTCGAGCACAGGGGTCAACAGCCACCTCCCGAGCTCACTTTCAAACCACGCTATCCCGATCCGGCAGGCCTACAATGAGTATCATATCCAGGTTTGCGGAAGATCACCCGAGCTACGCCACAGCCACACGAGGATGGCCTCCACACGAGCAGGCACAGCGGCGCCGCCCAGCCCGGCCGTCCCGCCCGGCGCAGCTCGGCGGAGCCGCGGGGCGGGGCCGGGCCGCCCAAGCTGTTCCGGGCCGCCGGGCAGCCATGGCGGATGAGGAGGAGGATGCGCCGGTGAGTGGCGGAGGGGCTGCCCTTCCCGGGGATCCACAGCCCAGCCGTGGGCGGGGAGCCGACGGAAAGGGGCCGGGGCCAGACGTGGGCTGACCGCGGCCTCCCCTCCGCTGTGCCCGTGTAGTTCGAAGAGGACGCGGAGGACGCCGGCGGGAGCCTGGACGGCGGGCAGGGCAGGAGGAAGAGGCTGTTCTCCAAAGAGCGTAAGTCTGGCGGGGCCACAGAGCCCTGCCCAGCGCGGCCGGGTCACTCAGCTGAAACCCCGAGCTGACAGCTGTAGGGTCCTAGAATTCACTTCTCCTTAGCAAAACAGCGGCTTTCATAATGTACCTTGGCTGCAATTGCATAAATCTGCCACGTAGACTCCCCTCCAAAATACTGCTAGGGCATCCTCTGAACCTAGCTGTGCCCAAAGTCAGCTGCACTGTCACTGTTTTGCAGCCTAAATTAATATTTAAAAGAGCCTGTCCTCAGACATGCTTTTCTGTATATACAGCTCCTGTCCCTACAGGGCTTTTGTTGGCTTCTGTTTATTTCCTGTGTTTCCTCAAGAATTGTCCTGCCTGACAGACCAGAGTGCCATCCTGATGCCGGCATGTGCAGGCTGGTGAGCTCTAACTAGATGTGTGCAGCACTGAATGGATGAAAGAAGCCTCACGCTGAGTGTTTCTTTGCACAGTAAGGTGCATGATGTATGGATTCGGGGACGACCAGAACCCTTACACAGAATCAGTGGACATTCTTGAGGACCTGGTAATAGAGTTTATCACTGAAATGGTAAGTCAGCTCTAGATGGCATGGTCAAAACACCCTTACCAGAACTTTAACTTTCTGAAGGTTAATACCTCTGATTCAAATACTGCATTATCCCAGGCCCCAAACTTCTGGCATTAGTAGGAGAAACATAAACTTGGATTTTTTTTTTTCCAAGATTAAAACAAAATTTATGCATCTTGTTCCATGTGGATTTAGAACACTGAAGTCTTTAAGCAGCACCTAGATTAGTATTATAGGAGAAATACCCACCAACTTTGGGGTTTGCTGCAGCATCTCTGAATGTGCAGCTGACAGAAGGCTCAGATTTGAAAGTCTGTCAACTTTTTGTGTTTGCCCAGTATCTGTACATGGATGGAAACTTAGCTCTGTTCTACAAAAGAAATGTATTCTTGGGCCTGAGGCCATTTCTCTCTCAGACCTGGATACTGTTTCAAATTACCCAAACATTGCCCTTTCTTTTGAAATGTTGGTCTTTCTTATCCTTATCAAAATGCCTTACACTGTCCTCTGATATGGGTACCTCACATTGCTTTCAAGTTGTGCCTAATTTTCAGTCCTTCTGCAGGCTGGATGTCCTATGTGTAATCTGGCCTTAGTTTTGATACCATTATGTGATGTATATATATAGTGGTTATGCTCGGGGTGTAAGTAGCTGGGGACAGCAGTGTACATCCATGTTTACTAGGAAGTTCTCTAATGACTAGGATGATGGTGCCCAGAACCTGCAATTGCTTACTTTTTTATTATAAAATGACGGGGAATAAAGTGGAATTGAGAGCTTAAAAAACACCGTGGCAAAGGGAACGCTGCTGACTTTTTTTCCCCTCTAACAGACACACAAGGCCATGTCCATTGGGCGGCAGGGTCGTGTACAGGTTGAGGACATTGTCTTTCTAATACGCAAGGATCCCCGGAAGTTTGCCAGAGTTAAAGACCTCCTAACTATGAATGAAGAACTGAAACGAGCAAGAAAGGCTTTTGATGAAGCAAACTATGGGTCTTGATTCTGCACACAAGCTGCACTGGGGCATTATTTGGGCACCTGCTCCACAGTAAGAAGGAAAATCGTGTGTGTTTGCAAGGTTTTTTCAGGATGGAGGTCACTGCTGGGATGTCTGCTCTCACTCCCAGTCTTTTCTGAGAAATAGTCAAGCAGCTGAAATGTTACCTAATTGTATGTGGTATACTTAGGTATTTTCATACCATTTGATGAAATGAAAAAAAGAGCTCTAAAAATTCCTGCAATGGTAGGAGTCTGTTTGAAGTAGGCCTGTGTTGAATCAGATGGCTCGAGAGCTGATGATTCATGATGCTCTAAAATTGTTTCATTTGTCACTGGTTATTCCTGTGACAGGAAACCCAGAAAATGGATCCTCGTTATCTGTATAAAAACCTTAAGCTCAAACAGGTATCAAAGTTGTGCTCTTTGCTCTGTATATGCTTTTTGAATAAAACTTAAGTTTGTGCTCACGTTTCATAACTAAATATACATTGATCAGTTCATGCAAAGTGGGCAATACAGGATTACTGTTGCAGGCCACAGCTGTGCTTTTCCCTACTTCTGTAACAGCTCAGGGGAGGTAGGTTAACTCCTTATTTCAGAACACTCAACAACTGCTTAAACAGCACTAATACTGCACATCAAGGCTGTCCCCTCTACAAGCAGCACAGAAGGAAGGGTGTAAGGCTTGGAAAGGTGTTGGCAAGTCTTTTGTCCAAAGCAGAGTGAGTGATCAGCTGCAGCCTTTCTGCCGTGAATGGGAACTATTTGCACTGTGGATTTGACAGCAGCATTTAACATGTGGTTGGGCAATAGACAGGGGACACTGATTAAAGGTAACAATCACTGTTCCTGGACAAGGGTACATAAAAGGATGGCGATTACTCAGTTATTTGGAACACCCTTAAAAATATAAAAATCAGTCATTAAAAAAAAGCTGTTTTATAAAAACATAATAAAATAGTTGTTACTTTCTTAACAGAATTCAGGATGTGAGTTACTGTGACACCATTAGGGTTCAGAGGGGTTTACTTGAAAGAAACAAAACAAGAAACTAGATTGACTGACCCCTTTCCTTCTACAAGTTCAGGGTCAGACACCTATTGCTGCAAAAATAGAATCAATATCTGTGTTCTCTGCAGCTTCTTTCCACACTGAGCCAGGGCTTCCTTCCAGCAGCAGCTGCTTAGGGGTGCCTGTTGTGCTTCGTCTGACATGTCCTGCATCAGTGCTGGAATGTTCTTTCTGACTTGGAGACCCATCCTGGTAAGCTGGGAGGATGAGTAATGCACCGTTCTCACAGACCCCAAAAGGCTCAGGAGGCTTTTGCCCACTAGTCTTTAGAGCTGTCTTCAAGAGTTCAGATGATCTGATCCTCCTTTGGCAGAACCGTGCCCTGAGTTGCTGCCTTGGCCAGCACGTGTGTTGTGACCCGTACAGGAGGTATTTACAGACAGATGCTTTGACACAGTGCAGCTTTTTCTTCAAGCTTAAGAGGAGAAAAGTGCACAAAACAGAACTTTATCAGCTACTGAAGTGATACTTCATTTGGAGTTTGGAGAGATTTCGTTATTTGTCTCTATAATTTTCCTTATCATACCAAGGAAACAGAACAGCACCTTGTACAATAGTAGCCAAGGCACTCTGAATAAAGACAACCTTTGCCTCATATGATTGTTACCATAAAACACGCAAATGATTTAAGTTTCATTTTCAGTCTCTCTCCTAAGTATTGTACATTTGTTAGCCTTTTAAATAATTTTTAAATCACAAGTGACTGAAGCTAAACAGAATGCCCATGCTCAGCACCCATTAACCTGAATTAGTGATCCTGTGTTTTAAAAGAATGGCTTCGACCACTGTATTTCACTATACTATAGCAAAATACATAGTTAAAATGTAACGTGTTAGACTCAGAAATCCCACACCCATGCAAAACTACCTGTATCCTTGAGCCTCCACATGGTGCAGCCGGTTGCTTTTCAACAACTTGTTGCGCAGAAAATAAGCTTCTGATTTGAATTTGTAGTTTTTGCACCACAGAATAGATTTTCTGAGTGCCTCTGACAGCTCTCCAAATGATGCAGCTGTTTGGACCATCTGCACAAGAGATCCAATGTGCTGTGATTTTGCTATTCGAGACAAAAGTGGTGATGACTTTGCTTTAAAAGGTGTTGATGCAATGCTTAGACCCTGAAACAAAGTAACAGAAATAGTGTTTTAAAAGGATGATGTTATGATCCTTTCTGCTGGAAGGGAGCAGAACACAGGAGATTTTGAAAACATTCCTTATTTTCTAAGGGGAAAAACAAAGAGCAGTCTTGTTTTGTGGAATACAAAAAGAGGCAGATAGTTAGAATTTGTATTTCTGTCTGCTACTGACTTGCTCTCTGATCATTTGACTTGACAAACCAACAAATGTCCAAATTCCTAAGCAGATAAGTAGTGGTTGACTTTCTGTGCAAAGCTTCCACACTAGCCTGAGTTGTTAGACAAGCAAAAATAAGGCAAGAAAAGACGACATTTTCAATCAGGGATATCATGTTTGAAGTGTTAAAAGAGTCTTTAAAATATAAAAAAAACCCCGAACCACCAACCTAACATGTAAAACAATACCATACAAACCTCTTGTGTTGGATGTCTGGCTGGCCTAAGCAAGCTCTTCACATCAAACTCTGGGTACTTCCCTACAGAGAAAGAGGAAAGTTCCCATTACAACACTGAGATAGTTTTATTTCTTTGCACAGAGATGCCACAGAGCTCTCAGCAGGCTCACACCTATACTCAACATTTCCAGGCAAACTCAAGGGGACTGCACTTGTCGTGCATTGCAACTGGCAAGGAATGAAGAGCATGCAGAGGTTTACAGATTGCTGCAAAGGAGAATTTAATGGGTAAAAGCTTTCAAACAAACACGTGGACAGCTGCAGTCACTGGCCATAGTCCTGACTTGCAGAGGAAGATTTGGGCACATTTCAGAACCAGCAAGCACAGGATACTCCCTGTGCACTCTGTACCTACAGCCTTACCTACTCTTGTACGGACTGCACACAGTTCCCATAGCTTCTTAGCTATGCAAAAGCAGGGAAGTACAAATAAGTATTTTCAGGACCTGTATACTTGCATTCATTACCTGCTTCTCTCCAGGCTGTATCCTGTTTAAAAGAACCCCCCCCAAAAATCATGAAACTGATATTATCCACAGCTTTATAAAGGCAAGGGCACATGCAGCACTCTCTTCTTTCAAAGACAGGGAGCTTGTACTAGAACCACACTGGGGGTAGTAGAAGTGCTTGGCCCTGTTGGACAGAAGTTGCAGTCAGTCTGTGAGATGTCAAAAGCCATTACATTGGCACAAGGCTTTACCTCTCCTGGCTGTGGGCACCACAACTGTCTCCCCAATGTCCACGGCGCACGGGATGCTGTGGTTTTTAACAGCACTTGTACAGGTCTCAGATTTCCTCTTTTTCTCAACCTTTGATACTGCCTCTGGCATTGCTGGGAAGAGCTTCTTCATCCAGCTGGCAGATTTTTTTGTTGTAAGCATTTTAGCCTTTTGTTTCTTTGCCTCAGAAGATATGTTAGCTCCAAGGAAATCACCAATATCAGAAGGGAAGGTAAACCCCTTGATATAAGGGGTCTGTTGGGTCTCAGATACCAGATGAAGCATTGTTGACAAGGCACTGTACAAGGACGTGAGGGTCTCCAATACACACCTGTACTGAATCCTGAGGACAGAGGAGAAAAAGGAATGGAGTCTTCTCGAGCAAAACATGATGCTCACTGAACAACTACCCTCCGCTCAGCTGCTCTTTCCCTGTTTCCCCTCAGTACAAATTTACTTTTTTACGCTCCATTACCCTGCTTTCCTTAAGCGTGAGCTTTAATGAACTGTTCCAGATCAGAATGCAGTAGTGACTTAACTAGCAAATTCTGATCAGGAGCTCCTCTGCTTCTGTAGTTTTGCTGAGTGCCACACTTTGGACCCATCAGGTTCTTGGGTGACATCCAAGGTGCCATGAGGTCTTCCCACAAAAGCACCCTCCACCAACTCAGGCCTGATGCTGTAAAATTGCCTGCAGTATGTTTCCTGGAGTTACAAGATTTCTTGTGCCAAAGAAAGTTGTTCTAACAATGTTGTTACGCCTTCAATTACAGACAGCAGTTATTCTCCCAGAATGAGAAAGACTGGAATACAAATTTTCCTGGAAAACTCAGCAGTATAATAGAACATGCTTATCCCAGACTGCCACGAGGCAGGACTTACTCCTTGCTGCACAGATTACCAGGTGTTTGTGGCAGGCTGACACTAACACTGTGATTTCATTACAGCTACATAGAGTTTGCTAAGAGTCAAAAACAAAGCCTTCTATAAGAGCGTGTAAGAAGTCTCTCTCCACTTGTACAACTCTGCAGGTGCTAGAATCAAGTCCAAAGGCATGGAGGGACCCTCCCTCCCAATTGAATAAATTTCCCTTAGCAGCGAGGCCTAATTACAAGCTCTTCTCCCTGACAGGCACATCAAACAGACAGACACAAACAAGACAGACTTTTGAACACACAAACCAGAGCCGGCTCAGGAGCCCTGAAGCCACAGTGTTCAGGAGTATGAATTCCTTGGAGCAGAGGTGTTTAACGGACAAGCTGAAGATTACAGCAGTTAAGGTTAAAAAAATAAACAGCATGTAATGAGACTTGCTGAACACACCAACTAGAGGCAATTCACAAGGCGATATCCTGGAATAATCTGGAAGATGAGTATCCAAACTTTGGATTGCTCAAGGCCAGAACAGCTGCCAGCCAAAAAACCTGAGGTTCCTACACAGTAACTTGAAAATAAGGTGTTTCGCTATCAAAGAAACTTCAAGTTGCACATATGAATTGCACAGTTGAGTCCATCAGCAATACAGGGCCTCATGAGATCTCATGAGGTGCTACTGGTGAACTCTAAGAATGTTTTTGTGGTGAAAAAAGGATACAGAAAAGCTTTACAGCAACAATCCAGTAGACGTAGTATGAGCTTGCAGGCTCCCAATACCTTCAAAGCCACTGTTTCCAGAATAGGCTGGCTGGGAACCAAGCACTCTGCGTGGGCTTTGGATGCAGTTTTCCTGTGTTGATACAGGGATGAAGAGTTGGTTATGATCTAGCAGCCTCTTCCTTTAGATCTGCAGACTGAGTTAATGGATAGTACAAGATATGGGATCATGACACTTACTTGGGAATCAGTTCCACCAGAGTTTCCAGGCAGCCCACCAGATTCATTTTCCATAGGCGCTTCAAACATTGCTCTACCTAGGAGAAAAGAAAACTCCTTTGACTGGTATTTTGAGAGACTGAGTGCCCTGGTCTAAGAACTGTCACTATGTTAAATGACACCTCCTTATCAGTTTAACAGCCCACACTGCAGGTTTGTGTGATGGGATGTTCTGGGACATTTCTATATCTGCACTATGATGGAAAACATCCCTTCATCACTC